CTGGAATCAGAATGTTGAACCCTGCCTGACCAATTTTATGGCTTTTTTAACCTGTACACCCTTTCTTCTTTTTTATTTAATTTTTTAAATGATTTATCATTTGAGAGAGAGAGAGTACAGGGAGGGGCAGGGGGAGGAGACCAGCAAGACTCCCCACTGAGCAGGGAGCTGGCTGCGAGGCTCCATCCCAGGACCCTGAGATCATGACCTGAGCTGACACCCAACTGACTGAGCCACGCAGGTGCCCCTAACCTGTACACCCTTTCTAATCTGTTCATCCTCACTGATCCCAAAGCCAGAAAGTAAGGCTTTACTTACTTGGTATTTACTTGGTTTGGATGGTGCAGGTCATTTTCAATCCTGAAAGCTGTGAATGAAGGGAGGAGAATGTGTTCAGGGCAGGACTGAGCAGCCCAGTCTCAGGTGCCGAACAGCTTCCCCAAATTGGAGGACTGGCCAGAGAGCTGTCTGATGAAGTATCTGCGTTTCCTGGGGATTAGGGGAAGAGTTTCAATTTATCTAAAATCCTTTTGTAATTGGGTGTGTTTGTATGTTAGGAGGTATTAAGTAAAATGGAATGGAGAAGCAAAACATTTCATTTCTTACGTAGTAACACTAAAGCATGCTTGCTCTCACAGGGTCTCTTTTTCCTTCCCAGTTCTGGATTCTCTTGTTTTTTCTAGTAGAGAAACCCCAAGGAAGACTGATCAGTTTTTGCCGATATCAAACCATGACATATGTAAGTTGATGTTCCCTTCTTGTTGAAATAAATGTTTTCATTACATTTCATTTCATTCTTGTGATATAAATGTTTTCATTAATTATCCTGGAAACTTACTACCGGGAAACACTCCAATCAATTATTGGTTCCCTATACTAGTGAACAATCGTTGCAGATAACCTCTTGTTCTCCTGTGACCAGTCTCTTCCAACCTGTGTTTATGTATATACTGGCTAGAATATGCATTATCTCTTATGTGCCCAACTTATTTTAAGAGCAGTGATGGAAGAATGAAAAAATAAAGTCCTGTAAAGAAATGATTTGAGCTTCCCATGTCAGGATTATAGCTGATGAATTAGAGATGAGGATCCCATTTGCCAAACATGGAAAGATTCTGACATTCTCATAGACATGAGTTTTCTAGGTACAGGTGATAAAGCCTGGTAATAAATGGTCTCTGTCTTAATGTAGATTGAGATTAATGCTTTGTGAGGCTTTTAAAATTGAATAGACATGTGATTTAGAACTTGCAAATATATGGATCATGGGTTTTAGTAAGGAATTTCTTTTTTTTAATATATATATATATTTTTTTTTACTTTTAAGATTTTATTTATTTGAGAGAAAAAGAGAGCTCAAGTGGATGGGGGGTAGGGAGGGGTAGAGGGAAAGAGAGAGGGAGAAGCAGACTCCCTGCTGAGCAGAGAGCCCGACTTGGGCCTCCATCCCAGGACCCTGAGATCATGACCTGAGCCGAAATCCAGAGTCAGATGCTTAACCCACTGAGCCACCCAGGCACCCTATATTTGATTTTTTAAATTGAGATATAATTGACATATAACATTACAAATGGTTCCCCACTTAATTTTTCAACTTTATGATGGCATGAAAGCAATACCCATACAATCATTCTGTTTTTCAATTTCAGCACAATATTCAACACTTTATTATAATGTAGGCTTTGTGTTAGATGATTTTGCCCAAATGTAGGCTTATGTAAGTGTCCTGAGTATGATTAAGTTAGGCTGAGCTAACAGTGATGTTCAGTAGGTTAGGTGTATAAAATGCATTTTTGATTTATGAGATTTTCAGCTTATGATGGGTTTATCAGGATGTAATGCCATCATAAGTCAAGGAACATCTGTATATTAATTTCAGGTATACAGTATAATTTGATATTTGTCTACATTGTGAAATGATCACTACAATAAGTCTGGTTAACATCCACCACTGTACATAGGTACAGGTGGATTCATTGTAAAATGTGTATATATCCATGAAACCATCACTACAATCAAAATAATGAACAGATCCATCACCCCGCAAAAGCCTCAGTAATCCTTCCCTCCCAACCCCCCAACCCCTCCCACTCTGCTTCCAGGCAGTTACTGATCTGCTGTCTGTTAACATAAATTAGTTTACTCTTTCTAGATTTGTATACAGATAGAATCAAACAGTATATACTCTGTTTTGTTTCTTGTATTCAGCATAATTATTTTGAGATTCATCCATGTTGTTGCATATATCAGTTCAATCCAAAATATAGTTGAATAGTATTCCATTATATGGATGTATCATAATGTATTCATCCTTTCTCCTGTTGACATTTTGGTTGTTCCAGTTTGTGTTATTATAATTAAAGCTGCTAAGAACATTCCTGTGAAAGTCTTTGGGTGCGTCTAAGTTTTTATTTCTCTTAGGTAAATGCCAGAAAATCAAACTTCAGGTGAGTTTCTGTGTTCACAAAACTTTTATTTGGACATGAGAACATTTGATTTTCTTTGCCTGAAGTATATACTTCAGGTTGAGACCGTCTTTACACCTTCCATCCACAGTTAATGGATAGAAGTCATTGAGATAAATCCTTCACGTGGCTCTGATTTTCTGTCTTCTCCAGGTAATAGTCATATATTCAATTGGCAAATCATTTGAATTATACAGTTGGTCTTTGTTTTATTTATTTATTTTTTTATTAGAGAGAGCACAAGAGTGGGGTGAGGAGCAGAGGGAGAAGCAGACTCCCCACTGAGCAGGGAGTCCGATGTGGAGCTCGATCCCAGAACTCTGGGCTCATGACCTGAGCCAAAGGCAGACGTTTAACTGGCTGAGCCACCCAGGTACCCCAGTTGGTCTTTATTTTAGATGGTGATTAAGCAAGGCAGCATGGGTTTATGTGGAATTACACACCACATATTTCTGATATTCTACAGAGGCCTAATAGTCAACAAATGACAAAGGCATCTGCTTTGTGAAGCTTTTGGGAGTGGGATTGCAACTGGGTATTTGAGGATAGAGATCCATGTCAACAAGGGGAGGAATATGTTCAGGTGATCTCTAAGTTATAACCAGTAGTACTAGTCAGGTGTTATTTGTGGCCTGGCAGCCTGAGTTTTTTTCAGGTATATCATTGGGTGGATTGTGAGAGGCAGTGTGGTGTGATATTGAAGCGGATGGGCCCTGGATATCCAAGATTTGGTTTGAGTCTTGGCTCTGTCACTTCCTAGCTGTATGAGCTTGGTGTATTCACACAGCCTCTGTGTTCCACAGTGCTCAGATGTACTTTATAATAGTACATATTTCATAGGAATATAACCAGGTTAAAAATGTAAAGCTCATGACAACAGAGCCTGGAACATAGGAGTCTTCAGTAAATATTAACTGTTGTGATTCTAGGTGATTCCCCTTCAGGGTCCAATAGTAATGGAAATACGAAGGTAACTGATGGTTATTTGCAAGGTAAGAAAATTATCCAGAGGCTCAACTGCTTAAAAACAGGGGTTCTTAATCTTCCGTTCTTTGATTGCTCTTGTGAGCTTCCAGAGGCCCATAGATCATTTGAAACAGTATTCAGAAGTGTGTATTTACTGATTATCAAAGGTGAATATGACCAAAAACATTCAGAAATGTTGGTTTGGAAACAAAATGGTAATAATGGATACAATCTTGTATAAAGTGTTCAAGATTACAGAAATAGTTGAGTAAATCCCACCACATACTACATACATACATGAGATAAAATAACATGCAGCTAGTGAAATTATGCTTATAAAGATTCTTCATGGGGCACCTAGGTGGCTCTTGGTTAAGCATCCGACTCTTGGTTTCAGCTCAGATCATGATCTCAGGGTCGTGGGATGGAGCTCCATGTCAGGCTCCGCACTCATTGGGGAGTCTGCTTGAGATTCTTTCTCTCTCCCTCTCCTTCTGCTCTTCTCCCCTACACACTCACATGTGCTCTCTCTCTCAAATAAATAAATAAATCTTTAAAAGATTCTTCATAAGAAGGAAAAATACATAATGTAATGTGAACCAATATTCATAAACATGAAAAGTATTATTCAAAAGCACTTTAAAATTAGATATGAATCTCATTTAACACTATAGGGTTATATAAAATATTTTACAAGGTTTGTATCCAAAATGGTATTTTAATTATATATGTGTAAAGGAGACATCTGTATCTACATTTGTTGAGAATCTACTGTATACAAAACTGTTTTCTGTCTGCTTTTTACACATGCTTTCAATCTGCTGATTCCACTTACCTGAATTATGTTCATTCATAGAAAAATCTTGATAGTGAAACTTTTTTTTTTATTATGTTCAGTTAGCCACTATATAGTACATCATTAGTTTTTGATGTAGTGTTCAGTAATTCATTATTTATGTATAACGCCCAGTGCTGATCACAACACGTGCCCTCCTTAATACCCATCACCCTGTTACCCTCTCCCCCCACGCTCTCCTCTGAAACCCTCAGTTTGTTTCCTGGGGTCCATAGTCTCTCATGGTTCATCTCCCTCGCTGATTTCTCCCCCTTCAGATTTCCCTCCCTTCCCCTCTGGTCCTCCATGCTATTGCTTATGTCCCACATATGAGTGAAACCATATGATAATTGTCTTTCTCTGCTTGACTTACTTCACTTAGCATAATCCCCTCCAGTTCCATCCATGTCAGTGCAAATGGTGGGTATCCATCCTTTCTGATGGCTGAATAGTATTCCATTGTATATATGGACCACATCTTTATCCATTCATCAGTTGAAGGGCATCTTGGCTTCTTCCACAGTTTGGCTATTGCGGACATTGCTGCTATGAACATTGGGGTGCATGTGGCCCTTCTTTACACTACATCTGTATCTTTGGGGTAAATACCTACTAGTGCAATTGCTGGGTCATAGGGTAGCTCTATTTTTAACATCTTGCAGAACCTCCACACTGTTTTCCAGAGTGGCTGTAACAGCTTGCATTCCCACTTTTGAATTATACTGATGATATTACTCAAGGATTGTCCAAGAAATGGTAGGTGAAATTTATTTCAACAACATTGTTTTTCCAATTCAGAGTTAGAGTTTACAGTTTATGAGTGGAAAGATCTCCCTATAATTTTTTAAAAAATATTTTGTATAATATTGGTGCCATATTTCCAGGTAGGAATTATATCTGACCATTGCAAGAAAATCCAGTAACCTAAAGAATTATGAACAAGAAAGAGAAAATTACCCATAGTCTGTTGTCATCATGTCCTTCTTCCTCCCTGCCCCCCCTGCCATTAATCACCAATTATATTTTGATACAGATTTTTCCAGTTTTTATCTGTAAGCATATATTTTTGGTCTTGATTCTGTAATATAAAATAACCTTATTTGATCACATAAGGTGACAAAAGAATTTCCAACTCTTAATTTGTAAAAGAAATCTTGAGTTGCATTATTGTCTCTATGCCTGTAAAGAGAAGGCCCTTAATCCCCTCCTTACTTGAAAAACCTTCCTGAGTATTTTCACCTCTTAGGAGCATAGATTTGTCAGTTAAAATCAATTACCAGAAAATGGTAACATTTCTGCTAACATAGCGTTTTTTCTAAAGATTTTATTTATTTATTAGAGAGAGAGCACAAGCAAGGGGAGCTGCAGGCAGAGGGAGAGGGAGAAGCAGGCTCCCTGATCAGCGGAGCCCAATGTGGGGTTAGATCCCAGGACCCTGGAATCATGACCTGAGCCAAAGGCAGGCACTTAACTGACTGAGCAACCTAGGCACCCCAACATAGCATTTTAAAATCAATTTTTTAGGGGCACCTGGCTGGCTCTTAGTTTTGGCTCACTTCCTGATATCAGGATCATGAGATTGAGCCCTGCGTCAGGCTCTACGCTCAGCTCAGAGTCAGCTTGAGATTTCCTCTCCCTCTCCCTCTGCCCCTCCTGCTCATGCTCTCTCTCTCTCTCTCTCTCAAATAAATAAATCTTTGAAAAAAATAAAATCGATTTTTTAAAATGAGATTAAATGTCATTTCAGAGAATATAGAAAAGATCTGATGTCTGGGTTATTCCAAGTATCTGTTGTATAAACATTTCCAATGATAGATTCATTGTTAACAGAAACATGGAATAGGTGGTAAAAGTTATGAATAATCAGATAAATCTCCACCTTGTTCCAAAAAACAGTATTTAGACACTCACTAAATTCTTAATTTGGCACCTGATCATCAGATTCTCTGAACTCCTTTAGGATGTTGAAATGATTTTTCTGAACTGCCTGTGGCAGGGGATGGGCATATTTTCTCCTAAAGTGTTGGAAAATCATTTTTGTAAATATTTGTTTATTGAGGAGAATTACATGCTTAAAGCCAGGCTTTGACATTTTTTTTAATTAGCATTATAAGAATGCAGGCCTAAGGAACTTAAATTTTATTGTAAGAAAAAACAGAATTAGCAGAATTGTGTTTTCTTTTAAAACAGTAAATTAAGGAACTTGGAAGGCTCTCCACTTCATTTTTTTAAAGATTTTATTTATTTATTTGAGAGAAAGAGAGAGGACAAGAAGGGGGAGGGTCAGAGGGAGAAGCAGACTCCCTGCTGAGCGGGGAACCTGATGCGGGGCTTGATCCTGGGACTCTAGGATCGTGATCTGAGCCAAAAGCAGACAGATGCTTAACCCACTGAGCCACCCAGGTGCCCGAAGTTTCTCCTCTTTAAATAATAGTAACTAACTTAAGCAATTATTTTATTAAGTATTTTATATAGATTACATAATCTTCAGACTTTTATATGCTATTTTATATTCTTTCCCAGTTTACCAACGAGACTTCAAGGGACTGGCATGTTCATAAACATCAGAGTTTCAATCTGAAATTCATGTCCAAAAGGTCTGACAACAGTCTGAGCCACCCAGGTGCCCCCAACATAATTCTTTTACCATGTTGCCTACTGTTAACATGTTTTCAGTTTCTTGTTATAGAAAAATTCTCTGAAAAACATTCTGCATATAATTTTTATACCTCTTTTTATTTCCTTAAATTTTTAATAGTGGACCTTCATATAAGAAATTAGACATTTTAAGGGCCTACAATATTGTCTGACCCTGTGATACTAGCATTTGAGTTGATTAAATGACTAAACATATGTAGCCCTTCCTTCCCCCCCTTTTTTCTTTTTTCTTTTTTTTTTTTAAAGATTTTATTTATTTATTTGAGAGAGAGAATGAGATAGAGAGAGAGAGCATGAGATGGGGGAGGGTCCAAGGGAGAAGCAGACACCCTGCTGAGCAGGGAGCCCGATGCGGGCCTCGATCCCGGGACTCCAGGATCATGACCTGAGCCGAAGGCAGTCGCTTAACCAACTGAGCCACCCAGGCGCCCTCCCCCTTTTTTCTTTTAAAGAGAGCGAATGTACTGAGTGGAGTTGGGGGGGGGCGTGCATAGGAATAAAGAATCTTAAGCAGGCTCTACACTCGGCACAGAGCCTGTGACACAGGGCTCGATCTCACGACCTGGAGATCATGACCTGAGCTGAAATCTAGAGTCAGACGCTTAACCTAATAAGCCACCTTGGTGCCCTTTTATATGTTACATTTAAATGCCAATAATCCAACGGGATATAAACTACGATTAAGAATAAGTATAGATCAAAAAAAAAAAAGAATGAGTGTAGATCAGTGTATAGTAAAGACCACTAAAGAGAGTTAGATGACCTACCTTGGGAATTCATGGGAAAGTGACATTGGTTGGATTCTGGCCATTACTACAAAGTGCGAACAAGTTATACTGAGCCCATGGAATCTCTCTGGAGATAAGTGGGGTTTATTGTGTAAACTTTTGCTTTCTAATTTTTTCCCTCAACTGATGTTTAGATGCAAAATGAGACTAATAGGATAAGTTGATTGGGCAGTTGTCTGGAAGACATTGTGGCTAAATGTCAAGAAAAAACCTCCTTGGGGTCAAGAAGACTTTAGAGTACTCAGAGCTTTATTCCAAGCTCAAGAGAGTGTTTTAAAATTAAATGAAGTCTCGGGTCGCCTGGGTGGCTCAGTTGGTTAAGCATCTGCCTTCGGCTCAGGTCATAATCCCAGGGTCCTGAGATCGAGCCCCGCATCGGGCTCCCTGCTCCGCGGGGAGCCTGCTTCTCCCTCTCCTACTCCCCCTGCTTGTGTTCCCTCTCTCGCTGTGTCTCTCTGTCAAATAAATAAATAAATAAATAAATAAAATCTTTAAAAATTTAATTTAATGAAGTCTGTACTTTTTGGAGAATAGCTTCTAACACATACATTTGTGTATATATATATTTTTAAGTCAATGTATGACCACTGTTAAAATAATTATGAAGTATATTTAAAACAAAAAGAAAACCAAGATTACGCCTATAAAAAAAAGGGATGGTAACATAGGATTGTGTAATGTAATAAAATGGATAAATTACCAAACCTTTCCATCAGTTGATATCCTGTTCCCTGTCCCGCAATGTCTGTCTCTTTTTTAATGATCTAATCATGTTGTACTACTATTTTTTATCTTATTTTTCTATTGGTAGTATATCTGTAATATTGTCCATGTCCTCAAATATATTTTCCTTTTTAGCATCTAATGGCTGCTTTGTATTCTGTTGCCTGAATATTTAGTATTTAAGTAGTCAGCTTGGCTGGACTCAAAACACAGAATGTAGGCCTAAGCAATTCCTTCTTTGTGTTCATTTCCCATATATTGACCAACTTCAACGGACCATGAGGCCATAAAAACACCTCTGGTTTGGATGGTGAGGGCTCTTTCAGCCTTGGAAGATGGGAGTGAAGGCAGGTGGATCCACTCATGGAAAGACTGAACAACCCAATCTCAGGACTAGATCAGCCTTCCCAACATGGGAGCTTGTCCAGGAGATCTCCTGCTCCTGTGTTTGGATCTGGCTTCAATGCCAGAAGTGATTTATTCTACAATGACCTTTGTGTAGTCTGGTGTCCTGGGACTTGGGAGAGACCTTAGATCCATCTTCCATTTTTCCCTAAATTGTGTGTGCAGTAGTGGGGGCTAATTTTAGAAGAATGGAGGAACAAAAAGATTGTACTAAATTAAGTCATATTGGGAACACTAAAACTTTTTTTTCTTCTCTCAGCTCTGGAGTCTCTGGAATTTGAATTGTTTTCAATGGAGGAACACCAAGGAGCACTGATCAGGTCTTACATTTCTAAAACCATGACCTGTGTAAGTTGGTTATTCCTGTCTTCTTGCAATATTATGATTTTGTCTATGTGGGTTTTTTGCTTAATTAACCCAAAGCTTCCTACTTAAGAGGGCCTCTTTCAAGTTATCTGCTCTACAGTTTGTCCTAAAATTAAAAAAAGTGATAGAAAATAGCTCAGTTTCCTCCTAATGAGTGTAAATCATCCGATTTACTCAAACCACTTCTATGCTTATTCAATCAAAGGCTATGATGGAGCAGTAAAGGAGTGAAGTCCCGTGAAGGAAATATTTGAGTTTCCTTTATAGGTCTCTGGTTTGATGAGTTAGAGATGTTGGTCCCATTTAATTACCACAGGTAGACTTTCAAATTCTCCACAGACCTGAATTTTCTAGGCAGATGAGATGGATATTGGTATCAGTTGGTCTTAGTCTTAGTATATGATGGTATCTCATGTTCTTGAGCATTGTAGAATGATAGGAAACATTTGGGTCATGCATCTTTCTAAGGAATTATTGAGAGACAAATGTATCTATTTTGTGGTTGAATGTGATCTGATGAATTTGGGTGACATCTATTTGATTATGGCTCATCCTTCATCAGTGTACAGTTAGAAATAAAAATGTTGAGTAACTGATGAAAGATGACAATGAATGAGAATTTATCCTAAGGAGTGTAAATGTGTTAATTTCTAGAATTGATGAAGACCTTTGAAATTTTGTCCAACTAAGTATATAAATGTCAGGAATGGATTAAGTCTGAGATATCTATAATACAATGTATTGTGACACAGCCAGAATTTATTTGTCAAAACAAAGAAAAATGTTTATGATGTGTTCTGACAAAGGATGAACTCAATGCCTATAGAAATGTCAACTTTTTTCAAAAGCTTTTACTTAATAGAGAAATTTTTATATTCAGTATCGGAGGCAAATCCCATCTTTGTTTAACTCTGAAGGAAAAATAATTTAGAACCTCACGTTTTTTTGAGAATTTATACATCATGCAACTAGCTGACTACATGATTGTGCATTATACTTTATTGAATAGGAAAAAAACTTTAATCTTATCCATTCCCCAGTAGGTCTGAGTTTTTGTGATGGCCCACAACCTACAAAGATTTGTCTGTAACAATAGGATTCTTCAGGAATATGTAGACATTTGGCTTTGATTTTCTAGTCCATTTGTACCATATCATTCCCTTTCTTTAATTCACTCCTGTAGTCTCCTGTCTTTACCATCTTGAAAATGTGTTTCCAATTTCACACTACATGGGTTTGCAGTTTCAGGAATTAGTGACATTCAGGGATGTGGCCATAGACTTCTCTCGGCAGGAGTGGGAATACCTGGACCCTATTCAGAGGGACTTGTACAGGGATGTGATGTTGGAGAACTATAGAAACTTGGTCTCATTGGGTAAGTTCATTTGCCATGAGAAATTTAGAATGTGCTCTGTGGTATGTTGACTTTCAACACAGGGAATTTCAAAGCTCTTTCAAGATGTAAGCTGAATTTCTTTTTCTTGTTCCCAGAGGGAGGTTTGAGGTCTGTCAGTTTGTCAGTGCCTCTACCACCAACCATAGTCATTTCCTCTTCTGGTGATGCTCACATTTCCCTCGCCCTTCCTGTCATTGCCTCCCTTCCTTACTTCCCAAGGGGCTGGACAAAAGTTCCTTATATTTATTCCATATATAGCTATTGTCCAAGAAGCCTCGTTTCCCATTGTGTTCAGGCTGAATATTGCTATGTATTTGCTGGGTCATCCTCTGATCCACCTGCAGGGCAATAGTTAGATGAAGATTTGTGATTGGCTGTAGCTGTGAGAAGAGCTCTATAACTTCTATAGTGTGGACTGGATAAACAATATTCATTTAAAACTGAAGGGTACACATTTCATTTTCTGCAACCAGTTTTATATGATTTATGGTTGAAAGTTACAATTCATGAGCATGATATTTATAATTGAATGAATATTTTATAAGTGAATCAGGTTGCTTCTTGTTTTCCTCTTAAGGAAATAAGATAATTTTAATTGGCATTATGTCCCAATTATGATACTTTTCCTGAGAAGCAGGGGGGAGAGGAATATCTATACATGCATACAAATTTAATCATCAAATAACCATGCAATAATAGTATTATCATACCGATTTTACTTGCCAACATTGGGGAGCAGTGTGTTGAAATGATTTCCTCAAAGTCACAAGGTTGGTAGACATTAGAGGAGAAAGAATTTGTGCACACGCCCTTAGCTCCAATGAGTGTCCTCAAACATTGTTAACCTTTTCAATCACTTTGTTCAATTTTCTCTTAAGAGGAAGAGTCTATAGTGAGTTTAAATTAAAATAAAATTTCATCATACCTGCCTGGTTCCTTAAATCATCTCATCCTTCTATTATCTGAAGTCTGTATCTGTAACATTTAACCTTGATTTCATGACAAATTTAAGGAAAGCTAAAGATTTTGTGAGTTCTGTTTTTATTTCTGTACCATGTGGCTTTTTTTTTTTTCTTGTAAGCAGGACATTCCATTTCTAAGCCAGATGTGGTTGACTTATTGGAGCAAGGAAAAGAGCCCTGGATGATTTTGAGGGAAGAAACACAAGGACAGTATACAGGTAAGGAGGGCAAGGAAGGCAAAGAGAAGCCATCAGGGCTGGTAGCAGCCTATGTGGTAAGGGGGAGGAGTACATCTCTGTGGTATTGGCAAAGCCCTCCAAGGTACCAAGACTCGGTGGTGCCAAGAGCATGGGCTTGTGACGTGGGGAGGAAATCAAGGTCTCAACATGAGCTGTAGAAGAAACTTCAACTTTACACCATTTGCCATTCATCTTATTTCCTTATATTTCAAACCCATTTTCAGTGACAGGGAATCTCATGTTTCATTCATGCAATATTTTATCTATATATTGGATTCAGCTGTTCTCTATGTCCCCTTTTGCACACACACACACACACACATATCAATGCAGTGATAGTGAACAGTGATAGTGAACAAGGCTTATAAGGTCCCTGCTCTCGTGGAATTTACATTGTACTAGATTGAGGATAACAGTAAACAGCTAAATAGATAAATAATATTGGGCAATGGAATGATGGAAAGTAAGCAGAAAGTGGGCCATTTTAGATAAGGTAGTTGCGGATGACTTTTCTGAGGTGGTAACATTTGAGAGGATACCTGACATAAGGGCCTAGGACATGTGTTTGGGAAGAATGTTCCAACCTAAACGCATAGCTTGGAAGGCTCAGGAGTGGCTGGGGCAGTGGGAGAAAGGGATGAGGAGACTGGAAGGAAGGGGGCCAGGGAGAGCTTTGTGAGTTTGAGGAGCACCATCGTAGACCAGAATAGAAGGCCTCAGGAGAGAGTAATAAGTAACGCAGCCACAACTGTTAGGAGGAATCAGCTCATATGAGGTTTTATTAGATTTGAATCATTAGGAATAATAAGTATTAGTATCAATTGTGTTATCTGTTTTAAAATTTTTAATTTTAAACCATTTTTTTAAAAATGTTAGTCAAATACAGAGAGCCGCTTTAAGCACATGTCCAGCGCAATGAGTTAAATGCGGTAAACACCAATGTTATGAATTAAAACTTCTTTCTTCTTATTTTGAAATAATTTCAAGTCACAGAAAGGTTGTAATAATAATGCAAAAATGTATTTTATACCTTTCAACCAGTCTTTCCAAATGAGGAAAGCTTTCTAGTCCACAATGAAGCCCTTCACAAGTCCACACCCAATCACAATCTTCTCCCCCTGCTAAGTGCAACCACTCTTCTCATTTTAATAGAAATCAGTTCCTTCCCTTTTTTCTCCCTCCAATGTCTTTATGTGCTTTTAAAATCTTCTTTAATCTCTAAGTTTCCTCTTCATCTCTTTTGTTCCTAACCATTTATTTGCTGAAGGAACATCTTCCATTCTGTTTTGCTGATGCCATTTTGAGATTTACTTAAACATGTTCTCTGACTTCTCTGTATCCTCTAAAGATTTTATTTATTTATTTGACAGAGAGAGACACAGCGAGAGAGGGAACACAAGCAGGGAGAGTGGGGGAGGGAGAAGCAGGCTTCCCATGGAGCAGGGAGCCCAATGCGGGGCTCAATCCCAGGACCCTGGGATCATGACCTGAGCGGAAGGCAGTCGCTTAACGACTGAGCCACCCAGGCGCCCCTCTCTGTATCCTCTAAATAAGTAGTGGGATCAAGAAGCACAATGAGATTTAGATTATCTATATATAATATTATATCATATAATATATAAATATATTAAGTTTATAAATATATACATAAATATATTTTTAGAATTTAAATATATATTATATGATATATATTTTGGCAAGACAACTTTCTGGACAGTCTTGTATACATAATATGTTGTCAGTATCGAATGCTGGCTCCTTCCATATCAGACAGAATCGAGTTTATTGCTTACTGTTGTAAAGGAAAACACCACCAAAAAGAGCTTTGGTAGTATTTCAAAGAAGGAAATGCAAGGATGGATGTTATTGACAATTGAAAGTTTGGTTTAAGGCCAGTCTTTCAGTGTGATTAGGATTGGGTGAAGATCAAGATACAACAGTGGAAAATTCATGGAAATTAGGTAAGAATTTTGAGGCTTGGGGGGCATCTGGGTGGCTCAGTTGGTTAAACATCTGCCTTTGGTTCAGGGTCCTGGGATCGAGCCCCACATTGGGCTCCCTGCTCTCTTCTCTCTTTGCCACTGCCCCCTGCTTGTGCTTTCTCTCTCTCTCCCTCTGCCAAATAAATAAAATCTTTAAAAATAGGGACGCCTGGGTGGCTCAGTCGGTTAAGTGTCTGCCTTTGGCTCAGGTCCTGGGGTCAAGTCCCACATCGGGCTCCTTGCTCATCGGGGAGCCTGCTTCTCCCGCTGCCTGCCACTCCCCCTGCTTGTGCTCTCTCTCTCTCTCTCTCTTTCTCTGTCAAATAAATATTTAAAAAAAAAATACTCTTCAATAAAAACTCAATAACAGTGTATTTTTATACTTTTGTGAAAAATTGTTTCATATGTTTAAGAGCCAGTTCTCTCTATTTCGTGAGTATTGGGATTGTGTGTCTCCCCCATTTTTCTATCTGGCTTTTAATCATTTGTCCCTCAATTTTTTTTTAAGATTTTATTTATTTATTTGAGAGAGAGCGAGTAAGTGAGAGAGAGCACAAGCAGGGTGAAGGGCAGAGGGAGAAGCAGACTCCCCGCTGAGCAGGGAGCCCTATGGGGGGCTCGATCCCAGGACACTGGGATCATGACCTGAGCCGAAGGCAGCCACTTAACCGGTTGACTGTGCCACCCAGGCGCCCCTGTCCCTCAATTTTGAAGAGTGTTTTTATAGGAGTGCCTGGGTGGCTCAGTCGTTAAGCGTCTGGCTTCAGCTCAGGTCATGATCCCGGAGTCTTGGGATCGAGCCCTGTATCCGGCTCCCTGCTCCACGGGAAGCCTGCTTCTCCCTTTCCCATTTCCCCTGCTTGTGTTCCCTCTCTCGCTGTCTCTCTCTGTCAAATAAATAAATAAGTAAATTCTTTGGGGGGAAAAAAGTGTTTTTATATATTAGGAGTATTAGCCTTTTGTCTGAAGTGTATGTTGTAAATATTTTCTCCCAGTTTCTCAATTTTTTTTTGTTATTTTGATTATGGCAGTTTATTTATTTTTTAATGTAGTCAAATTCATCCTTATTATCTCTGAATTTTGTGTCTTGGTTAGAAGCTATCTCAAGGTTAAAGATAAATACACATCTTTTCTTCTATCACATGTATGATTTTATATTTTACATTTAAATCCCTAATCCATTTGGAGTTTATTCTTTTTTTTTTTTTTTTAAAGATTTTATTTATTTGACAGAGAAAGACATAGCGAGAGAGGGAACACAAGCAGGGGGAGTGGGAGAGGGAGAAGCAGGCTTCTGCCGAGCAGGGAGCCGGATGCGGGGCTCGATCCCAGGACCCTGGGATCATGACCTGAGCCGAAGGCAGACGCTTAACGACTGAGCCACCCAGGCGCCCCCCATTTGGGGTTTATTCTTATGTATAAAGTAAGGTATGGATCTAATGAAATCTTTTCCCACACGGCTACCCCAGTTGTCCCAACACCATTCATTTAAACATCCATCTTTGCTCCCTTCATTTGAAATGCCACCTTCGGGGCACCTGGGTGGCTCAGTCTTTAGGCGTCTGCCTTCGGCTCAGGTCATGATCCCAGGGTCCTGGGATCGAGCCCCGCATCGGGCTCCCTGCTCAGCAGGAAGCCTGCTTCTCCCTCTCCCACTCCCCCTGCTTGTGTTCCTTCTCTCACTGTCTCTCTGTCAAATAAATAAAATCTTTAAAAAAATAAATGAAGTGCCACCTTCATCATATAATACATTTCCATATATTCTTTGGTCTATTTCTGGGCTTTCTGTTCTGTTCTGTTCTATTTGTGGATCCATGCACCACTACCACATTGCTTTTATTATAGTTATATTGTAGCGCATTTTAATGTTTGTTAGGGCTAGTCACCCTTTTAGATTTTCAGTGTTTTTCTGCCTATTTTTGAATGTTTGTTTTTCCATGTGAACTTGATCATTAACTTTTCTAACTCCATGGAAAGCTTATTAGTATTTTATTTGAATTGCACTAAATTTACAGATTAATTTAGGAAGAACTGAGATCTTTATAATGTTTATTAATTTTCCCTAAATACTTAATCATGTTCTTTACTGTTATAAATTACATTTTCTCTACCGTTTTGTCCTTTACCTAGTTATGGTTTTCCAATAGAAAGACTCTTAATTTTTTCAACAGGTTTATTGATATATAATTTACATAACATAAAATCATTCTTTTTTTTTTAAGATTTTATTCATTTATTTGACACAAAGAGAGAGAGAGGCAGAGAGCAAGTACAAGCAGGGGGAGCAGCAGACAGAGGGAGAAGGAGAAGCAGCCTCCCCACCGAGCAAGGAGCCTGACGTGGGACTCAATTCCAGGACCCCGGGACCATGACCCAAGCCGAAGGCAGACGCCCAACCAACTGAGCCACCCAGGCACCCCTAAATCATTCTTTTTTTTTTTTAAGATTTTATTTATTTATTTGAGAGAGAGACACAACGGGAGAGGGAACACAAGCAGGGGGAGAGGGAGAGGGAGAAGCAGGGTTCCTGCTGAGCAGGGAGCCCGATGCAGGGCTTGATCCCAGGACCCCAGGATCACGACCTGAGCCAAAGCAGACGCTTAACGTCTGAGCCACCCAAGCGCCCTAAAATCATTCTTTTAAATTGAACAAATCAGGGGCACCTGGGTGGCTGTCAGTTGAGCATCCATCCAACTCTTGATATTGGCTCAAGTCATCACTTCTCAGCCTTTTGGCTAAGATCAAGTGATAATTGGTTTAAGTCATGATCTCAGCATAGTGATATGGAGCCCTGCATAGGGCTCCACGCTCAGCAGGGAGTCAGCTCGAGATTCTTTCCCTCTGCCCCTCCCCCTGCTCATTCATGCTCTCTCTCTCTCAAATAAATAAATGAATAAATCTGAAAAAATAAAGGGAACAAGTCAGTGTTTTTTAATATAATCACAATTTTGTGCAACCATCACCAGTATGTAATTCCATCACCCCAAAAAGAAATCT